ACACTGGGGATGGCAGGTTCAAACCCAGCCTAGGGCGACCAAGTGAGACTCTGTCTCAAAAAAAAAAAAAACAAAAAGTTATCTCAACAAAGCTAGTCTTCTCATACTAGATTACTTCTATTCCTATTTTTATTACTATAATAACCAGCTATCCAGAGACTATGAGGAAGTAGAGGCTATGAAATAGGACTATTTCATAAATCTAAAATAATAGTTAAGACACTAGCAGGAAAAAAAAATTACTATTTACAGCACTTACCTACAAAGTAATTTAAACAACGTATTGAAGATGGTGGCAATCCTAACTATATCCTATCATGTTGAGAGGAAAGGCCTGTAATAAATACCATTACCCAGAGTTAATGCACCAAAAACTGAATGACTACTATAATATTAATACTGAAACTCATGTATGTTAAACCTTCAAAAGACTATCATCAATAGTCTTCTCACATGCTGATATGGTCTTGTAAAAGAACTGAAATTTTTTTTAAATATCTTGATGTACAAAACTAATATTTATTTCTTCCCAAGGCATTTGTGGGATACCAGTTCTCGTAGAGAACTTAGTAAGTGCTTAAATCTGCAAGGAATCACTAGTCTTTGCAAGATTCCAATGGCCACAGAGTAATCAAAGGCTCAATTATTTTTTTCTTTTTTTTTGCAGTTTTTGGTGGGGGGCCGGGCTTGAACCCACCACCTCTGGTATATGGGGCCAGAGCCCTACTCCTTTGAGGCACAGGCACCGCCCAGGCTCAATTACTTTTAATCCTCATCTCTAGGCTATCCCAACTAAAAGAATGAGCCACTAGAGGTTTGATTACTAACTGAAAAACCATCAAGAATGCTTAAGTGAGTAAGGAGGATGGGAGTCTAAAATGTCCCCAACCAAAGAAACAGTCTCCTGTCTTTCTTCAATGCTTTCCTGTGCTTGTAAGATCAAAACAACTATCTAAAACACTACCTTACGTGAAATAACATATATGTTTATGAAGCATACTGGGTTAACCATTTAGCAGGTTGAAGCATCATGAATAATCTATCACATGACTGAATCTTATACTCCTCTTTTCTGTCCCTCCCACCCCACATACCCAATCAAATGTTAGGTTTATTCTACCTCCCTAACAATTTCATTTTAGGTCCTAATTATTCAAAATATTCTAATAGTCAGCAGTCTAGTCAATAACACAAACTGCTTTTTAATAGTCTCTAATCCTGGGCTGGGTATGGTGGTTCACACTTGTAATCCCAGCATTCTGGGAGGCTGAGGTAGGTGGACTGCCTGAGCTCACAGGTTAGAGACCAGCCTAAGCTGTAGTGAGACCCCGCCTCTAAAAATAGCTTGGTGTTGTGGCAGGTGCCTATAGTCCCAGCAACTTGGGAAGCCAAGGTAAGAGAATCACTTGAGCCCAAGAATTTGAGGTTGCTATGAGCTATGATGCCAAGGTACTCTGCCAAGGGCAACATAGTGACACTTTCAAAAAAAGAAAGAAAGAAAGACATTTTCAAATGCTAATGTAATTAAGAATTTCAGGGTGGTGCCTGTGGCTCAGTGAGTAGGGCACCAGCCCCATATATGGAAGATGGCAGGTCCAAACCCAGCCCCAGCCAAATTGCAACAAAAAAAAATAGCTGGGCAT